CATAAACTGCCTACTTTTAATAGAAGGCTAGAGAATGAATAGCCATTGCTGCAGTATATTTTTTTCTTTCACTGTAATTTATGATTTTTTTGTTTCATTAACTATTGGATTTTAAACTTTGTTTTATTATAGATATATGATAATCTGAGTCTATAATCCTAGCTCTTTGGGAGGCCCAGGTGGGATGGCTTGAGCCTAGGCGTTGGAGGTTGCAGTGAGCTATGCTGGCACCACTGCAGTCTGGCCCAGACAACTTCTGCAGCACAGTTCATTAGAGATATTGCATAAGAGTTAATAAATCAATAGAGTAACTATCAGATAATCCATTGCTTTCAAAGAAATTAATCCCAGCAGGTATTAGTGAAATCATTATCTTTTATTCTAATATTAGGTAAGTTACTGTAGAGATTTCAACATCTATTTGAAAGTTGAACATGTGGTATTTTAGTTGTATGTCCAAAGAGCACCATAGGACCAGAAAGCAAATTTTGTTTCTTGTATTCAGTAGTCAGGGCCATACCCTAGCTTACCTCATGCTGGTCAGCTTAGATGTGTTAACTGACCATCAAGTAATCTTTGAGGCTGTTGTAATAAAATTGTATTTACTAGGAGGAGAGAAAGAGGAAAGGATCTTTGGAACTTTGAATGTAGGTGAAAGTTTGATTTTTCTACTCTTCTGTTGGGATAAATGAAAACAGATTTTTATATCTGATTTATAGGACTGAATTTTAGTATTTTTCCAAGGGGAGAATGTTAATTAAATGTAAAATAAATGTTATTAATATATAATATATATTTTTTACTGTTGCCATACATTACTAATCTTCTATTAATTGTTAGGATTTTAAGTATTGCTGTATCTTCTCATTAACATTTTTCTACTAAAGAATTTAAGATATTACATATTGCTAAACATTGTATCTTTTTAAAAACGTAGATAAAAAATGATCAAAAGTAAAAACCTTTTTATGGCTAAATAAATAGCCTCAAAATATATACTATCTTTGCATATTGATGAATGTCAAAATGACCAACATTTCATATTTTAATGACCTAAAAGAAATTATTTGTGCAATGAAACTAAAGCAAAAACGAACTAGAGATATAAGAGCTGAAACAATACCAAGTTACTTCCTAGCATTCCCAAAGTTGATAAATTATTAGAATTTATACAAACAAAAAGCATGAAAAAATGTACACTCATAAAAGTATTAAAAATTCATTACAGGCCGGGCGCGGTGGGCTCACGCCTGTAATCCTAGCTCTCTGGAGGCCGAGGTGGGTGGATTGCTCAAGGTCAGGAGTTCGAAACCAGCCTGAGCAAGAGAGAGACCCCGGGTCTGCCTCTCCATTGCTCCAGGCCTGGCGTTTCGAACCTCTGACTTGAGGCCAATCCACCCCACCTCGGCCTCTCCAGAGCAGCTAGGATTAGCCAGGCCCCGTGAGGCCACCGCAGC